AGGCTTTGTGTTGAGTTTGCAAAGGCTCAGGACTGAGGCTTGTCAGGCTTGCTTTGCCTGGACTATTACTGACCTGCCTGTTGCTCTATTTTAAATTGGTTTATCTGTAAGAGCATTTTTTTTCCCTTCTGACCAGGTGGCTATGGCTGATTTGTTTTACTTTGATTAGCACTGTACAGTACAACCATAGTTTTATACATACAGCAGTAACAAGTAGCTATCTGGTGCACCATGAGATGTTCACGACTCCAACTTAATGCACTAGAGATAATAGAATTAATCATAGGCCTGGTATGACAGCAGCAGCGTTGAGAAGCTGGAAGCACAGGATGTGGTGCAGAGGAGTAGAGGCATGGGATGGTAAGAGACAGGACACAGGCTTGACTCTGGAGACCTCACAGCTACAAAGAACTCACTTATGGTCAGTTAAAGAAGTGCAGATATGGAGCTGGACAAGAATGGTTTTAGGGGTAGTAAAAAGGATAAAGAAATAGTATCTTACATGCATATAATCAACATATATAGTCAATTTGGACGTAAAATGGAGTTTCAATCCGATGAAGGAAAACCAGTGTATAAAAGCATGTTAACAATCATAAAACTGACCCCCAGAAGATTCTAGAGTGAGGAAGAAGAAACCATCACCATCAACCTCACATTCCTCCCACTGAAGGACTCTGGGTGCTGACAATTCCCTGTAACACGCCCACCACCCTCAGAATGAAACCACCAACCTTAGGACCCAGAGGAGCAAGGGCAGGGGGAGCATAACACCAGGAACAGGGGTAGAAACCAAGAATTGTGTGCATAACAATTTATTATTATTATTGTTGTTGCTGTTGTTGCTTTTGAAACTTTTTCTGCTTAGGAGTATTATTTATTTTTCTGTAATAATTAGACCTGGACTAATAATTATTTTTTTATTAGAGTGCTAAGATTTCAGTTATAGTAACAATAAATTCTTATCTTTATATATAAGGTAGGTTTCCCTTTTGCCCAGAAACAATATTTTGAGCATAACACTGTAAGAAGGTTCCCAAATAATTCAGAAACACACTATATGTCTCACAGGCTCACAATAACCAAATCACTTTATGAGCTGAAATCACCATCAAAATGTGAAAAAATGCATCTGCCTGGGAGAGGTCTAAAGAGCCTCTTGGTTTCAGCTGAAATTGTAAATGCTGTTTTGGGTAAAATCAAGGGGTTTTTTTTCAGTTTCGCCCTTCAAAACTGTTTCTGCTCCCTTGGATGCTCCCTCTATGAGTCAAAACCAATTGTGCTCACCTTCTAGCCTGCACTTTGGCAAAGCAGGAAGCCACAACAAATACCTTGTGAGTTAGGATGCATTATTTTTAGCCACAGAGCAAAATTCAAAGAAATAAGCAGAAACTCCCAAAGTCCTTATCTTCTTCCAGTTCCTCAGTAAGGCTTCCCAGGTTAATGTCTTCCACTTCTAATGGAACTAGAATGTTTTACAGATGCATTACGTTTGTAATAAAATTCAGATGAGATGCATTGCCATCACACATGTGCCCTTGGCTCCAGCTTTTCTAAACTACTGAAAAAGCCAAGAACAGGCCAATGACAGAAGCCAGCACAGCAAAGACCTGTGCCATTTAACACCACATAGAGGTGAGCAAACTACGCAAAGGACTCCTCTAGTTTTGTGCTGGGCTTCCTGCACAGAATTACAGTGTAACCCGTAATTAAAAGGTAACCCGTAATTACGGATGTTTTTATGCCCTGGACATCCTGGGCCTGTGGTATAGGGGTGATTGCCATAAGCCTGGTGGATGTTCCTGATTCTGGGATTTTGGCTTCCCTCTTCCTTGGAGACATTCACGGGATCTTTTCTCTTGACTTTTATGTGTCTCTGCACATATTAAGTTTGACATTGCAGCCACCTCTCAGTGATTGAGGGCTGTCCCTGAAAGGGTCTGGCTTCCTCATTTCGGATCTCCTGGCTGAAGACTTCTGCACCGTTCCTTGTGCCAGATAAGCTGTCCTGCAGCCTCAGGATCAGCTGGATCAGCAAGCAGAGTCAGTGCCAAATTATCTCTTCTCCATCTCCAGAAAACCCATGGTCAACTTTCCGGTCCAAGTGAGCCTGTGAGCTCGCAGTCGCCAGGCTGGGTGCAAGAAAGGAAGTGGGACGCACAGCACAGGCTTCGTCTCTCAGGGGCTGGATGGCCAAGGAAGGGAAGGCAAAAGGTGTCCAGGTCTGCTGTGTGCCACAGCCTACAGCAGGTGAAGTGCAGAAATAGATTTGCATTTTACTGCAAAATGACTGCCCATCAGTCTCTGCACAGCAGAGGGACAGGAGGCACTACGAAAGCGGCTTTGCTTGGTCATCACCCTGCAGAACCACTTTGGTCAAGATGGTTGCCATCAGTGACATGTTTAACATCAGAGAAGACAACTGTGAGCCTGCCTGCGGTGGGGTCAATATGCCATGGATTAAGCTAGGAGTGATAGCATGAGGCTACCTGGTACTAAAACACTAAACCATAATGTCCTGTGAGAGTGTCTACCCCTACGGGGGAGCCCAGGCACTGTAATTCCTGTCTCAATATACCAAGCACTAACTTCCCTGTACAGGCGTACTCTGCATCCTAATTTATCGTAGAATCATAGAATAGCTCGAGTTGGAAGGGACCCATAAGGATCACCAAGTTCAACCCCCTGTCTCCTCGCAGGACTACCTAAAATTAACCCACATGACTAACAGCATTCTCCAGATGCTCCTTGAACTCTGACAGGCTTGGTGCTGTGACCACTTCCCTGGAGCCTTATCTAAACACCTGCAGTAGGTGAGGGTTTGCTTAATGGCTATAACCCCTGGGCAAAGACACAGCAACTCCTGGTTCAGTGCCCAGACCCACCCATGAGCTGGTCTGTAAAACTGGGCTGTGTACAATGTGCGTGTATGTCATTTTCCTGTACCTGCAACACGGAAATAATGAAATCTATGTAATTCCTAGGGTAGAATCATAATTTGCTAGTAGGAAAAACCCTGTGAGAGCTTTACATAAAAGATCATAGCCACTTAAATACTAATTCACTGCTCTTTGAGTACAGAATGCTGTTTCAGATGAAGTTTCAGATGCTTTGGGTTAGCAGTTGGAGAAACAAAATATCTGTCTCCAAGTGCTCAACTAATGTCTGTTCCAGAGCATGCTGGAGTCAGTGGAAACCTCCCTGTGCACTTCAGTAGGCTTTGGATCTGGCCCTGAGCATGCACATGGTTTTTCATGACCATGGGTACAAGACAGGTAATGCCATGTGCAAATGACTACGTAGCAGCATTTCCATGCATAACCACAGTAATGATAGGTGAAAACTGGGCATATACTTGTTTATTCCAACTGTATGAAAACTGGCCCTAAAATGAAATGTTTGGCCTATGGACTTGAACATCCAGAACTTTGGAAGATGTGCTAGATCTGGACCCAGTTTTGTGAGTGGCTTTGGTTTTCTCTTTGGATGACCCCAGACATCATTTGGAGACATTCAGATTTTATACTTGAATACTCTCTAGTTTGAAGTTCTAGCTGAAACCCAACACCTGAAGTCCCGGGGAGGAGATCACAAAGTAAGACCTGTAAAACAGGGAAGAGAAACTAAATGGAAAGGAAATAAATTTAAAGACCCGCACACGGAATGTCGAGAACGGAGGAATGAATTATGGCGGACTGCAGTAGCCCTGGGCATCCCCAGAGCTGCAATTCAAGGTCAGCCTACTGGCATTATCTTGAGTCTGATTGAAGCATTCCAGAAATGAGATAAGGGTGAAAGGAAGGAGTGTATTTCAACTCCTCCAGCACCAGTCCCCCGAAAAGGAGACAACCCCTTCCTCCCCCTTAGGGAGGAATTGCAGGACATGGAATCAAAAAACGAGTAGTGTCCAGAAGGCAATTGGGCCTGCCTGTCCGGAGAGTGGAGGCCTTTCAGTGGATAAGTGATGGTGGCCCATATATTTTAATTCCAGTCAGTCCTCAAAGACAATTTTTGCCTCCCTCTCACTCCATCCGCGACAGCATTGCACAAGTCTGCTTAATCCCACTTCCCCCCATTGCAACTGGCTCCAACCCCGGTCCCGGAGCATGACATCTGAGAAATGTTTAGATCAAAGCTCTCCATCCACCAGTAGGGTTTGGCCATTAGCCTTTTGTTTACATACCTGCTGTGCAATAGAGAGGCACTTCAGATATTTCCTTGCTAAACACAGACAGGCGTTTAAACCGAGCAATATGCTTTATGACTCTGGGCACGGTTGCTCCACATCCTCTTTGACTCTTTTTTCTGCAGAGATTAATGTTGGGATTTTAAACATCCCTAATGCCTTATAGATGATCCATTAGCATCAGTGTCTCCTAAGTGGCTAGCCATACCATTATTTATAAAATAGGGATCCCTTCCTAATGCTACAGCTACCAATCCCTTGATTTTCTGAGCATATAATCAGGCATATTATCAGCTGTGGAGCATTTTACACTGCTACATATTTTTCACTATATAATGAGCTGCGTGTGTGTGAGTGACATACAAAAAATAGGCGAATATTGCTATTGCACTTACTGCAGTGTATGAGCTGATCTGGTTAGACACGAAATGCAGACAGAAATCCGCCTCACCTCTCAAGCTAATTTTAGTCTCTCCCTCTCTTCTCTCTAGCTGTGTGTGTATAAAATCACTCGCAGTCTGACAGCATTCCAGTAACCTATGCCACGCGCAGAGCGGGATGTACTTACTAACCATCTGCTTGCATGGCATGGGTTAACTGAGCCTGTGGGATTGTGCTTACCTAAACAAAACCACTGCAGTGAGGGGAAAAACAATGAATGGGTGGAGATGATCAGCCCATGCATTCCAGCTAGTGCAGTCCAGGCAGCAATGACAGCCTGAAGGTTGCAGCAGCATCGGGATCTGCATTCCAAGTGCACAGATCTTACGGTCTGGAGTGATTTTACGTGGAGCTGCTCTTTATTTGCTGAGCCATGGCCAGTAACCAGGCCAGCCTGCAGGATGATCAGAGCAGGCACTGCAAGTTCTTATCCTACATGTTCTACCAGGCTGTGAGAGATCACAAGCCCGTGTGGATGCTGGAAGACATGAGAACTATGGAGTATTTTTACTGGGAGGAAAATGCCAGCCTAAGAACCTACTCACCTTCAGAAGCCCTCCTCTATGCAGTGGTGCATAACCACCTGCCTTATGCTCAGTATCTGCTGTCTCATTTTCCAGAGGAGGCTCTCAAGGTGCCTGGGGAACACTTCTGCTATTGCCCATCCTCTGCTCCTCACTTGGCCATGGCGGTCACATATGACAGAAGAGATATCTTGGGGCTGATCATCAAAATTGCACACAAGCTCCCTAGCTTGAACTCCTACATCAATAGGACTGGCTGCTTTCATCTGGAAGATGGGAAAACACCCCTGCACCTTGCCTGTGAACTGCTGAGGTCAGAGACGGTCCTCATCCTCCTCGGAAATGGAGCTTCTCCCAGGATAGAGGACAGTAAAGGGCTTACCCCGCTGGATGTCATCCTGGAGCAGATGTGGGACTCCAAAGTCAACGTGGCATCAAAGAAGCTCTGCCTCGACTACCTCTTGCTCTTCATGCCCAACCCACAGTTTAAGATGCGGAAAGTTCTGCAGGAGCATCCGGACCACTGGACAGCTTTGCTGGGGGAAGACAAATTCAACAGCCTGGTGGGGAACACACCTGCTTCTTTATATCTGCAAGCTATGCAAACTATTCTCCAGACTCTTCCACCCTCCCACTTCCCTAAAAGCATCCAGGAACTACCTATACCTCAGGCACTAAAGCCCTTACCATCCTATGGCAAAAAGCTACCGACAAAAAATGTGGTAAATGTTTTTCCTTGACTTTATTTGCTGGGTCTTGGATTTTCAAAGGCAGTTTAGGGGAGCTGGTCATCCACCACCCTCTGCATTTTAGTGTGATTTTAGAACTTAACCTATTAGGCTATGCTGGAAAATCCAATATTTTGTGACAAGATTTTAAATGTCTTTTCTAATTGATTGCAGGCACGGCACTTTTAAAGGCAAAAGCCTTCCTTGTTTTCTGTTTTGTTGTGCATGTGAAGGGTTAACCATAGTCGAGACTGTGTTATGTTTGGTTTCTTAGCTGTCAGCTGGTATCAGTGTATCTGAATTCCCAATATGATAACTGTATCCTGTGTAATGTACCTGGGTAAAAAGGAACTGTGCCCAGTGGGATTTTCAAATGGTGTAACTATGGGACTGTGTTCTGCTAGAGCTGGGAGAAATACCATCCCGTACCAACAGGGTTCAAACGTCAGGTTTCCTTTCTAACAATGATCTGGCACCATTTAGTAATAACCGAAAAGTCCATGGCTGGTGCTGCAGGGACATAGAGGGGGTCCTGCAGGGTACCTGGTTTTACTGAGCTGCTTTACAGCAAGTCATAGCGTGGAGGGCATGAGTTCATGGTGGGGCAGTGAGTGTATATTCCTGGGAGGGGGGAGGGGATAGATACGGGCAGAACAGCTAAGGGGAAGCATCCTGTCTCACCTGGGAGTGAGGGGGTTAAAGGCAATCCCAGCCCTGATGCTTCTACAGACTTGTGCAAAGGGGAAGGAACCATTTTCCCTGCTGTCCAGTAAACAAATGCAGGGCCAGTGGAAGCCCTGTCCTTCATAAGTGGCATTATTTCTCCTTGACTTGTGTTTTAGGGCTGAACATGTCTCCACAAGAGACGTAGCTCACTAACTCGATTTCCCAGTAGGTGTTGGAGCCACTGGCATTTGCTAGTTATCCTAAGCAGGGGTGTGCTATCCTGCTGTTGACAGTTGTCACTTGTTGTCAATTAGAGTGTTTGCCACCCGGGTCCAGACAGAGGGCCTGATCCTGGAAAATACAAAAAGTTCCCCTTGACTCCCCTGGGTACAGCAGGCAGGGTGCGTTTGCAAAAAGCAGGGCCGGGGCTGCCCTGCTCTCTGGGGAGCTCTGTGCCTCACTGCCCAGGCAGAGCCCCATCCTTTCAAGGTGCTGGTCCTGCTCTCCAGGCCATGCTCAGCACCAATGGAGCAGTGGCAAGACCACAACTCCCTGTGGGGGACATACCTTATTTTGGACCCCAATGTTCTCCTCTCTTTGTAAGTGCAATCCTCTGCTCTGCTGAAGTAGCATAACCCATTTCCCCAGATCCATGCTGAACAGCAGTGAAGAAACCACTCACCTCTTTAAATAAATTTGGAGCTAAAGGCCGTGGGGCACAAGCCCCTTTTAGCAAGGCTCTGGCTGAAAAAGGATGTTCGTTCACATCTCAATTGCTCCATGCAAAAATGGCTCGCATCTCATCTGGCTAATTCCCTGCCTGTGCCCAGGCGGCTGTGCTGGAGCTGCACCCTTTTTTCCATCAGCACGGGGAGCACTTCTGCTGGGTTTCCCTGTACGCAGGTACTTCCCGTATTCCAGGACGCTGGCAATGCCAGCCATGGCCAGGTGGAGATTTCCTGCAGGGCTGCACAACGTGCCGGGGACAGCCAACTGGAACATCTTTTGGGAAACACCAGGATGCTCCTCCTGGACAGCCCTTCCTGCATGCTGTGGAAGCACCTCAGTGCCAGTGCCGCCCACGCTGCCCTAAGCGAAGATGCAAGCTTGCTTGTGAGATGGAGAAAATGTCACCCCAGCCCTAAAAGTGGCAAGCAGGCCACGAAGGGGTTAACCCTCCTCCTGAAATCCCACATCCCTCCTGCTGCAGTGTCCTTCCACCCCAGCCCCTGGGGACTTGCATGTCTTTCCCCATCTATGTCTATTCCTCCTCCTGCGATGGGGGAGGGTGTGAATGGCTGCGGAGAAATTCAGGGTCAATCTTGGGCGAGGGTTTTGCCGAGAGGCTGCTCGCTCGGCAGCCTCTGCGGCAGGCGGAGGCTGTCACAGCTTGGGAAGCAAAGCAGAGCCCAAGGCAGATTTGCATTATAAGCGGTGGCTGAGCTGCTTCTGCCAAGCCCTGCAGGCTTCCCAGCCCTGGCAGCCCCCAGAAACCCGGAGCTGGAGGCAGGGGACAAAGCAGGCACTCGCTGCTCAAGGCTGATGGCAGAGTATGGCTCCTGTGGCACTCCTGGAGTCCAGAGGAGCAGAACTGGGTTTTGTCCCCGGCAGCAATGCGGTATCTCATCTGAATGTCGGTGGGTGAGAGGCAGAGGAGGCTGGTGATGGATATTATTAGAATAGTAATTAGGCCCTGGGAGCAGAGATTCCAGGGAAGGAAGGAAGAGAAATCATCATCTGTTATTGCACTGGCTCAAAACCATGAGAGTTTCAGTGCTATAAAGAGTTTCAGAAAAGACAGGCGGGAGGGGAAGGCTGTTCCACTGACAAATCAAAGGAGGCAGGTAAGGATTCTTGGCATTAATGAGGTAGCACTTTCTAATGAGGCAGGGGGCTGTACCCAGAGAGCCAGAGCAACCGACTGGGAGCAAGTGGGTCTAAAACGGTGGGTGCAGGGGTCTCTTGTTGGCTGTAGCAGTTGTGGATCATTGCAAAGGTCAGGGCTCAGGCACTTCAGGCTTGATGGGTGGATTTGTAGCAGGCAGCAGGATGCTCGTGTGCATGCATTTGTCCATGTGGGAGGCTATCTTCTATCCACCAGCCCAGAGGATCAGAGAAGGATTGTCAGCAACTGCTCAAGAAACTCAAATTCTAGGGCATATCTGCATCTGGTAGCACAGCCTGGAAGAAAGCTGCTGGCCCACTGTTGGCCAACACGCAAAAACTCTGCTGTGCTCGGCCCCATGTGCAACAGGCAGCTACCTGCACTGGAAAGGTCACTCCACAGCCCCTCTCGCTCCTCCTTTTCCTGACCGTTTTAACAAGAGATCAAGCACCAGCTGGCCCTCAGCTGTTGAGCTACCACCTGACCCCCATGCGTGGTCCTGCTGGGCCAGAGTTTAGGGCCATTAGCGTTGCGGTGACGACTCTTTCCATCGCTTGTAGTGATACAAGTGCAGGATGGGGCATCCATCTGCTGGAGTGGAGGAACCTGCTCCCTAAACCTGGTTTGCTTATCTTGCGGTGACCTGCCTGTTAGTTTGAGATCCCATTTGTCTTCCTGCTCAGTACAGTGACATTACATCAGATACAGCCAAATCTACCTCAGCCCTGTCCATGTTGATTTTTTTCCTCCATTCTTTCCAAGCCGGGTCATTAGCAAAAGTAAACTCAAAATATTTTCCACACTTTCTGCAACCTGACAGTCCGTAGTCTTGAAAAATCCCTATGCTTGCATGACAAATATGTTAGTGACTTTGTTAATCAAAAAGGCAAAAAGGGTGCTAGGTGCTGTGTAGTGATGTTTACATTTTGCATATGTACATACTGAGTAAGTGTAGCTAAGATCTTTCTTTCTGAACTTGGGAAAAAGAATAAAAGCAAGAAAGAAAAGGGAGAGGGCAAAGTTTTTGCTAATTTTTGGATTACAGGCTGGCTCTGCAGGTTACATCTTTTTAATTTCAATTTTGAGGAGTAGCATTTTAAGGATTTGAGGTGTGTGTGTATGTGTGACTTCAGTTTTGATGAGTACAACTTCAGTGAGCAGGGCAAGTGACTTGGCGTGTGTGTGTGCATGTGTGCATGTGTGTGTGTGTGCATGTGTAACCGTGCGGGCCCATGTGTGCACATGTGTGTCTGTGTCTCTGTCTGCCCTCTCCTGGTAAAACTCATAACTGACTTACAGTACTTGTACGCGTCAGAGATCAATGCCTTAAGAAAGCAGCCCTTTCACAAGAGAAGTGTGTGTCCCAAGCTCTGTGCTGCTAACAGGTAAGGACATTTTTATTCTCTTGTAAAGAGGCAGCAGCTTTGCTCTTGAAACGGGTGTTTTAGCCCTGAACACCTACCACAAGGGCTTCTGCTCGCCAACAGCCACAACCATCCAGCAAAGGGTTTGTGATAGCAGCCACATTTTATTCTCTAATATTTTTTTTTTTTAATAAAATCTATTAAACATACATCTTTGTCATTCTGTTGTCTGGGCTGCCAGCATAATTCTGCCGCCAATGACTTCCTAACCCTATGCTTCTGTCTATTTCTGCAGCACCATTAGCAGGAAGGACAGGCCAGATTCTGACCTCAGTTACAGCTCTTTACACCTGAAGTAACGCTTTTTAAGTCAATTGCATCCCTCCTGATGTTTGTTGGTCTAAAAGGAAAACAGAAACTGTTTGTACACTTATATTCTTCAAGGCTCCATAACTCTGACTTCAGCATACAAATAAACATGATGCTTAATCCCTGAAAACATTTTTTACATTTTTTGTACTTTGAATGTATAGAGATACATATTTTCCATCTCTCTAACACTGATGGGCATTTCCCTGTTCCCAGTTCCCTTGGCTTTTTTTTGGATCAACATGACACTGACAGATGCTGTTGTTCACTGATTAAGACTGAATGTTGCCATGCCCGGGTACAAATGAATGTTCATTGTATGATACGACTTTCTTATAAAGCCATACTTTTGTAATTTTCGTTTCTCTTTTTTAGGGAAAAAAAAAATCTTCCATATAATTGTGTTTGTACATTACTCGCTGCATGATTAAAGATAAAACGTTTGTAATGTGCTGGGAATAAAATAGATATACATAGCCTGATATAATTAGGTATATTAGCTGTGAAAATCATTTAATCTGATTGTATTACTGTAATAAACTTGCAGTATAAAACTGATGTGTCTTTTATTAGCCAGTTGGTCAAAAACACCTACTCTATTGTGTATCTATTGCTTTTGCTTTGGCTCATCTTGGTGTTTGGTGATTTCATTCTGATTGCTGAGCCATTACCTCCAAAGATGTGATCTGAGGAAGATAGTATTTTCCTTCACAGGCTTGCAATAGCTG